TTGCTGCGTTTTCAAAATTGAGATTGGAGGAAGTTTGTATAGATTGAGAAGTAAGGGACTTAACTGCTTAGCGATCAATGAAAAATGACAGTCAGATATAGGATTGTGGCCAGTGAAAAGTCGTAAATGTTGTTCTCAAATAAAAAGTCTGATTCCTTTTTGGTTTCTGGTGCGAAAATTGGGAACAAAAAAGTTTTCTCGAGAAAGGATCAATAAAATTAATTTACCGTCGACTTTTTCGTTTGTAGTTGAAATAAGGTCTACTTTTCAAATGACATTTTCATGTTTTTTCTCTCCTGCTCTAAATCAGTGATCGCAAAACGCTGCATTAACCACGCGGGCAACTTTTCTGTGGACCAATTATATTCCTTCACGATTTTAGAGCTATGATTGTATTTTTTCTTGTCAATTGCATTCATCTGCGGGCGCTTTTCCATGTTTTTGCTCATTGGGATGAATTGAACAAAAATCTTTACCTTGTTACAAACACCGTAACTTAGGTGAATTAGCCGAGTAAGCACTTTATTTTAGGGGCTTGTAAGATTTTTGCGAAGCTACAGCTTTGTTATTTAGTTTTCTTAAGCATTGGTCCACCGTAGGGACAAACAGGTTTCAGGATAGCCAAATTACAGTTCAAAAGTTTAGGTCGCAAACTATAGGTAAACTTTGTTAGCAAATCGTTGCACATCAGCTGGTAATTCTTATAATTGACAAGAAAAAAATACAATTATAACTCTAAAATCGTGAAGAAATATATTTAGTAAATTATGGAAAATCACAGTATCTCTTAAACTTCATTTTCGTTTCTTCTTCCTCTGTTCTCTACCAGAGTCCCATCTCTATAGTACCCTCAAGACCGTAAATCTTAAACTCTATAATGAGCACAATCGTCAAATTTCAATATTCGGGGTAAAAGATTCTGATCCTGTTGTACAAGACAGACCACATAAGCAGTACTTTCGCCGGGGCTTGTGGCGCCAGATGAGTTTTTGACTTTTTACTTCAGTATGCTTCTAATTTTTGCAGAAGCTAAAATTTAATCAAGATGTGGATAAAAGTCTCAAATCCGAATCGATTTCATTGGCATCTTTAAGGAAAGGATGTGAAAAGAATAATTTTTCAAGTGGACTGCAAGGTGCAAACTATCCTCATTTCAAATTAACCTAGGATAAAGCGTGTTCGCTTGGATGGATGCAGGGTGGAGGGGTTTCTAGGCAGCTGCGATACTACTCCGATCAGAATTTAGGGCAGATATTCTGGCGCACAAAATTTATTTCTAGCTTGGAAGTTTAAGACTCGACTATACTCTAACTATCCTTGATAATTTGCAGAAGATTCGGCTGGAAAAGTCAGAAAGTCGGGAGCTTTGCGGATATGGAATAAGAACGGTACAATTGATCTAATTGGAACAGTGAGGGAAATAAAAAGCTAAGAATTTCTGTAAATGTGGCATTGCGGTGCAGTTGCATACGAACTTGGTCATAAAATTGTCCATATGAGCAGTAAAAGTTTTAGAGCTGATTAAAAGTTGACTGCCGGACAACAGCACATGGATAAAAAAAATGTTTACTTTTGACCAGCAAACGCCTCGTTATCTCTTGCGTGAAAGACAAGATAAAACGACAAATTTTTTTGTTTTAGTGCAGTTTAGGACTGTATAATTAACAGAGCCGTCAAGTTTCAACACTGGAAGTGAAACGTCGCGATACTTCTGCATGAAAAAGATTGCTGTAGTTTCGTGAAAGTTCTGGTATTTTTAATATTTAACTTCGGATTATTTGTGTCAAGCAACAAACCCATCGATATTCTAGTGCAAAACTATCGGTATCCGACTTTAAAGATTTGAAGGTTAGGCTGAAAAGAGTTACTCTGTACGCTTAAATTTGTAACAGAAGTGAAGTTCTAGTGTTTGCCGCTGTTGAAAGTCGACTATCAAAGAATGATTTTTTGCTAAACCGACAAATCCGTACTATTCAGAAGCCGTGACGAAACACCCTGTTCCGGTTTGAAATTAAAATTGCAGAACATACTTTCTCCCTCATACTTCGTCATCCTTTATTGTTACGAAGCTCACGACATCGCTTCAGTTACCTATTACAGTCTTCGAGAAATGTATAAGGTTTTTACAATCTCTTCTTTAAAAAGATAATTTAAAGAGCACTCCTCTTCTGAGCTGAATTTTAGATAGCAAAATAGCGTGACAGAAGTATACATATTCTGCACCTGTTGACATTTAGATTAAACCCTTGTTTGAACTAGCCTCAGGTCGCTCTGCTGGTCTTTGCATCTTTAATTGTATTTAACTCTATCTGTTCAGCAGCAAAAGCGGACGAAAAAAATGAAGCTAGTTGTACATCCTAGTTATGATCTCAATGTTCTTCCTCAGCAGAAAAAAAAAGGAAATGAAAAACAGAAATCCGACTACATACTCCCCTGCAATCTGTTTTTAAATTGGTTCGCGTGGCTGCCGGTCGCTTCAGCGTAGAATGTTTTTTGACTTCAACCAATCGGTAGGTCCAGGCAAACACTCCAGAACAGTCAGTGGGCCTCCATCGCAAGACGGAATAAGGTAATTAATGGAACAAAAGAAAATCACTTTGATATTAGCGTACAGAGTCCAAAACAAGTTTTGTTATGATTTCATGTATTCCCAATCAAACTTTACTTTTCATAAAGTCAAAAAACGAGATCTTCCGTAGTTTCAGAAACTCTTTACAACTGTCCAAAAAAAAATTTTTTTTTGTCTTTAGTTTGATCTTCACTGAAGTTTATAGGCTTGAAGTGAATTGTTGTACCATAACTGATTGACTAGAACTTGAGATGTTATGCTTAAACCAGGAACTTTGTATGGCTTGCTTCTTCCGTGTGTCTTTAATAAGGCTTTATCAAAAGTCCAAATATTGGTCAAGAACCCAATAATCTGAATGGATTAAAAACCAACAGGCCACTGACAGTATTAAATAAATTAACTCTCAATTCTTGGATTACTTCTGGAGAAGTTAAATATTTTTATGGGATATTCCGAGACAGATGCTTACCAAGAAGTGCATGTAGATCCACGCTAAAAAACTTTTGCAGCCTTGTAATTTTTGAGTTTCTGTTAAAACCACTTACGACTCATGTTGTCATAAAATATTACTGTTAATTTTACTTTCTAAAAGAAGCTAATAACATTTTAAAGTTGTTACAAGTTGTATATAACTCTTGCACTTCTGCGTTCCCGTGAGTCTTCGCTAACATTTTTTGGTAGGTTAATAATGATAAAATGCGCAGGTAAAAACGATAGCTTCGGCTCTCCACGATATCTATAGCAAAGTAAGAAATTCTGAATGGGAGATTTGTATAACAGTGAACCTGAGCCGTTTAGATCTGCAAGGCAGTAACTGCAAAAAAGCTCCGTACTAGCGTTGGTAGCAAAATTTTCTGGAACAGCATCGGTAAAAATGTACGCATCGTCAACGGACTCTGAAAGGTGCTGAAGCACAAAAACTTTCTGAAAACTATTTTAGACGAATACAGTGGTGGTAAGCAGTCCAACAGCAGAACCGCGTAAAGCAATATGGACAAAAAAACTACCTCTTTATACTAAAGGAATGGTGAAGAGCGAAGCGACTCAAAAAACTCAAAAGCCAGACGCTATCAGCCTCTTCCAGCCCGTTAAAATGTAGTGGACCCGTTTACCACATCTTTAACACTACTGTTCCTTACGAAACTCCCGATAACACTGTAATTCCCTGCCTCACTATAGAATGCAGACCACTTGGACCTCCTCGAAGCATACTGAAGTGTGGATTCGGCGTTCCAAGAACTTTCTATGGAATAAATTACAGTAATGGTGGTTTAATTGTTCAGGAATACTTGGCAAGACCAACTTTGATTGAAACACAGTGACGAATTTTCACCGAGCTTTAATATCACGAATTTTGCAATAGATGCCAAAGTGGCCTATATCCCTTAAAACTTGCTTGTTTCTTAAGTCTTACTACTTATTATCATTCCACTGCCGTTTAACTTTCTCAGGTGTGGAATAACCTGCAGATTAAAAAAGCAATTTTTTTTT